GCTAAAACCAGCACTCTGGCCAGCCCATGGACCTCCCCATGTGCCTTGAGGTGAACCGAGGTACCCCCAAGGCACAATTCCACCACTAGGCCCTTCCGGAGGTACCCGGACCTCATTTTGGCCAAGTACATGCAGTCCGAGTGGTTGGTACCAACTCAGATTGCCTCCTGGTCTCCTTCAGCCTCCTTTTCATTTTCAAAATGTTGCCCCCTTGGGTCCTAATGCCCAAGGGGCAACCACAGTTGAGAGAAAAAAACCTAGTGAGTATTTTTCTCAATTTTTTCAGTTTCTACCCCATTTTTTGTAGACCGAGGTATTTTCCAATTCCTCGGTGTTGTTTCAGCCTTGGATCTGGCTGAGATCCAAGGCCTACAATATTCCGTGCTACCCCCAAGTAGTCCTTGCTTCAAATTTGAACCCCTAAGCTCTCCTTTTCAATTTTTGGTGCATCTTGCCCTCTTTTTGGGCCAAATACACAGTTTTGTATTTTTCTCTCTTTTGTTTCTTTCCATTTTGGGTTGCCAACTCATTCCGGAGTTAGTCGTTTGGGTAAGCCTCATAAAAAACGACTATATTCCCTACTCCATGGATCTCAATCTCATATTCATGGTCCAAAAGAAAACCGATCATTTTCCCTTTGCATTTTCTCTTGATTTTTCTTTTTTAATTCAAATTTTGTGGAGATATTGCCTCAAGGGCCATATCTCTGCATTCCGGATTGGCCTCCATTAAATGTGGAGGGATGAGGTCACAGTAGGGACCTGCCAGTCCCTACTGTGCAGGTCCCAATAGGCCGGCACATTCTCCTCCACTTTTTTCTCCCTTTTTGTCTCACTCTCCCTCCATTTTCTCTCATTTTTCTTTTCCTTTCTTTTATTTCTGGTGTGGCAAGTGTCAAGTAGTTGTTGAGTCTTTTTCTAGGTCATGGATCCTCATCCATGGCCAGATTCAGACTCAGCAGTTGGCCGTTGTATCTTGAACTACAATAATGACACCCCCATGTTCATAGGGGGCTTCATTTTGTCTCTGTAAGTCCCAATTTTAAACCCCCTTTGCTCTGATTTTCTTTGGACAACCTTTTTCTCACGTTGAGCTTATAGAGGCTCTATTTTCTTATGCCGAGCTAGTCTGAGATATTTCGGACTGCTGGATAGCCCTCCCAACACCATTATTTTGCTTTTTTTTCTCTCACGGTCCTCCCTCTTGATCCCACTAGTGATTGCACTAGTGGTGCTAATATTTTTCACCGTCTATATTTAGATTCACCGTCTAGATTTAGATCTTGACGGTGCCGCTTGCTTTGCGTGTCCATTCCTCATGTTGGCTCATGGTTACCTTGGGACAACTCAATTCTCCGCCGTTTTCCCCGTACTAATTCCATCTTTTTTGTCCCACCAGTAGTCTCGCAGACGCGTGTCCCTTTTTTCGACTATTGTTATTTGGACCCACTTAGTCTCCGGCGACGTCCCGGATGATGTCCCATTTTTATTTTGGAACCTCCTTGTCCTTGGTGGTTCCAATATCCCTTCCTTAGGTGCCCCAAATGTGCCGATTATTCTTGGCCGCGAGATCTCATCTCACGGTTGCCGTTTACCGTCCTTATTTGCCCCATGATGAAATCACTCTTTTCTAGTCTTTTGGGCTTTCCATGGTCCATTTTCTCTTAGCCTAGGCATCCTTATGCAGTCCGATATTGGACTGCAATTATGGTCATTTTCCTAGTCCTCCAGCCCCACAACTTGCCCCGAACTGAAAGAAAATAAAACGCTCAATTTTCAAGTCCATCCGGGCTCAATATTGATCCCGGATGCACCTAAAACATGTGTTTTTCCTTCCCCATGCAGTCCGTTGTAACTCGGACTACAATTGGTGTAAATTTTCTAGCCCCGTTGCCCCACAACTAGCCCTCAGCTGTAAGAAAAAGAAACGACAAACTTCCAAATGAATCCGGGCTCAATTTTGGCCCCGGATGCATTTAAAACATGTGTTTCTCCTCCCCCACGTAATCCGTTGTATTTCGGTCGCATAGGACTTTTATTTTTCTTGATTTTCTCCGCAAAATAAAAAAAAAATCGAAATCCTTTGTAACCACCATATTTCATAATGTATCTGGTCACGGATGTATCTCCCCAAGTGACCGTTTTTTACCGTTAAGGTTTTTTTTTCTTTTCTTTTTTTTTTGTTTTTTTTAATTTTATTTTTTCTCCTTTCTTGGACAGTAGGGACCTGCCAGTCCCTACTTGTGGCAGTCCCTACTGACGGCCAACTCACTCACTCCCTCTCACTCTTTTTGTTTTGTTCTCCCACATTTTTCTTTTCTTTTCTTTCTTTTTCTAGCATGTGAAGTGTCAAGTGGTCGTTAAGACCCTTTTATAGGACCTTCCTCTTAGTTTTGGCCCTCCCTATGCCCATGGTGCAGTCCGTTACATCTCGGACTGCAATAATGGCTCCCTCGTGCCCATGAAAGCTTCCTTTTTCCTTTATCTCTCTCCCACAGTAGCCCCTCCTACTTCGATTTTCTCCCGGAGGTCTATTTTTCACATGTAGCCTCTTTTGACTCCATTTTCTTGGGGGAGGCTAATCCGAGATTTTCGGATTGCTCCCATGCCTCCTGCTTCATGATTCTTTACTTTTTCTTTTCCTTTTGCCCTCCCCGTTTGCTACTTGCACTAGTGGTGCTAATATTTTTGACCGTCAAGATGTCGATCTTCACGGTGCGTTTCCGCCGTCTTGTTCTAATTATTTTCTCCTCATGCCACTCCACCGTTTCTCTTGGGACCTTCACGTGTCCCCGCTACTTGTACCGTTGGTGGTCCCCGATGCTTCGTCCCGCCGGTGGTCCCCGACACTTTGTCCCGCCGTTGGTCCCCGACACTTTATCCCGCCGATGGTCCCCAACACTTTATCTTGCCGGTGGTCCCCGACACTTTGTCCTGCCTGTGGCCCCTGACATATTTTATCCCGAATATCGTTATTTTTACTTGATCTCACGTGGTCCCTAGTGCCTTCCCTCAAGGTGTCCCACGTTCTTTGGGCGTCTACCGGCCTACGACGACCCCTTTCCCGTGTTTTTTCTTGGGCCTTGTGTGCGCCGGTTTCTCCGGCCGTGGGACCTCCAATCTGAGGCTCCCGTTAACTGTCGTAGGCGCCCCTCATGTTGGGCCCTTATTTTCTAGCGTCTCACCGCGACCGGGGCCGCCCACCTCTCGGCTCCCCTATTCTCTTGTCGCTTGTCGTGCCATGTTTGCAAAGTCAATGCCCCTCGGCCTTAGTCTTGCTGAATTCCAGTAGCCCTCTTGGCCTCATGCTATGTTCGTATGCGCCCATGTCCTCACGCTTACTTCCTTGTCGTCGCCGGTTTTTTCCACCTGCGGTTCTCAACCCAGGGCATCACTCCTTCCGGTGGCCTAGTCCTTTGTCTCTTCTTTTTCTTGCCTCCTTACTCCAGATTTCTCTGTTGTACACAATTTGGCTATATACAGACTCTCGAGTGACGGGATGTTATTCGGGACCCACCGGTCCTTACAACGTCCCTTCGACACAAAAAAATTATGCACAACAACCGAGAGTACCATCCCGTGCTCGTCTTGGGTTGTGGTTTGGATACATTCGAACCTAATAAGAAGGAAGAAGCAGAGGGGAGCACGCAGAAAGAATTCCGTTCTCCACGTCTGTTCCGTGCTGCGATTTTTCAAAGTTCAATTTCATGTCAAGAAGCCTAGTTCGGATGCATCCGATTCATAATTTGTCGAGATGTTAATTGGAAGTCGATGCCCTGTCCCGTCGTTATCCGTTCCCCATGAGACTTAGCTTCGTTGGGAGGGATGTGGTTCGGATTCATCTGAGCCTAGTTCGGATGGATGATTTCATAATTTACGAATTCCTTCATCGAAAGTTGATGCCCTGTCCCTCGTTACCCGTTCCGGCTGAGACGTCTCGCCGCACCGAGTGATGTGATTCAGATTCATCCGAACTACATCAAAAGTTTTGGATGAGGCGAAAGTAAAACGTCCTGTGAGATGATTGCCTTCCCCCTTCGACAAGAATAAAATATGCACAACCTTTCTGTGAGATGATTGCCTTCCCCCTTCGACAAGAAAAAAATACGCACAACAGCCGAGATTGCCAGCCCGTGCTCATCATCGGTTGTAGTTCGGATACATCTGAACCAAAGAAAAAGGAAGGAGCAGAGGGGGGAGCTGCGAATTTCGAAAATCCCATATCATGTTTTGAAAGTTCGTTAAGTGGAAGTCGATGGCCCCTTTCTGTCAGACCTTCCAGCCAGGTTCCCCCGGAGGGTTCCCGATGCGCCCCCCTCCCCACGACACCCTTCCACCCTCCCGCTCCCATACCCGACCCCCACGCCCCCCTCAGTACGTCCGAAAAACATGGCTCTGATTAATCCGGATCGAAATGTAGTCATCGGGGATTGAGATCTGATCATTCTATGATTCGATTAATGTCTTCATTCAACAAAGAAGTGAACACGCGGTTTCGATGGATGTAGTTTAGCGACGTTTTTTGCCGTCGTCTGCGCGTACCATGTCCACGTCAGAGTGTAGCATATTCGAATGACTTCGCGATGTAGCCTCCACGTCGTGTAGTGTTGCTCTAGCTAGAAGTACTCCAGGTTTCGTGAAGACTAGTTTGATGGGTAAGTTTGAAGTTATGGTGTGGTTATGACGTTCTCGCGGATGCGCAATTGTGGCGATCTGGTGGGTTGTACAAGCAGTGCCTTGTTGCTCGACATATCACTTTCGCAGGCCATCACCCATGGTGTGCCCTCAATGTGCCTTCGTGGCGGTTGCAGAGGAATTCGACTCGCGTGTCGAGTCCGATCCTCGAGACAGTTCGCTATTTTCGCCTGAAGTGAATAGGTGACCTTAAGTTGTAGTGTCATTGTGACTTTTCCTTTCCCTTTGTTTCAATTTGATGGCGCAACTCTCCAATCCAATCTACGAAGCGTCCACTGCGCGGACATTGGGTATGGACGTTACGATGCACGACGCTCGATATTGGTGTTCGCGATGGGATACTGCATGAATGGCGGTGCTCTGAGGATGGTGTGGGTGTGTGATGGAACGTTCTTCTTGGACGTGCGCAATGAGTCTTCGCGAAATGTCGCCGGTGCGCGTGAGGTGTGTGACGTCCGGGGACGGGGCGATGGGTCTTGGCGGTGCGAGGTGGGTCTACCCAAAAAAGAAGTTTGACGCGTGGCAAATATTCATGGAAGTTGCATGTGTTGTGAGAGTTGGGCGCGCAGCGTTCCGATGATAGGCATATGGGATCACCAAGTCGATCGGCAGAAGATCCGACAAATGTCAAGACAGGTGATAGGCAGACATGATCAACAAGCGGATCGTCACGCGATCTTGAGGACATCAAGATCAATGGCCCTGCGACGTCGTCCACGCCCAAGATGTGTTCGTCAGGCACGTCTAGCGATCTTAACCGCGAAAGCCGCAAGCTAGTGCCATATGCAGACGTCATGAAGAGGATGATGACGTCAGCATATGTCAATAACTCGCGGTTTTCGTGGTTGCGATCAGTGGACGCACATGGCGAACATATCTGACGTGTGTATAACGTCGCATGGCGATTGGTTTTGGCATTGTCAAGATCGCGGACTGACGTGTAAATGGTGGGGAATGTGACGGAGCACTGTGTTCCGATCTCTTCACAAAGGTGGGGAAAGTTGAACCGGAAATTAGGGTAGAAGAAGATGTGGATGGGCGACGAGAAGACGTCGGGCCTTGGAAGAGTTAGTGGGCTGAGTAGAGGACGTAGGCCCGATAAACACCTCAAACGCATGTAAGAAGAGCCAAGCGCGAGCGCGTTCACACGCAAAGTCGTACCTCATGTGCCGTTCACGGAAGTGCCCCCCGCTAACGACGAGTTCATGGAAGAACGACGACCTAAAAGTTGTGGTGGCCTGCGATATGATGGCGGGCGTCTTTTGGCGATGTGGTTGACAACCACGAGGGGCGGCTTTGTGGCACGATGGCTAAGGGGGGAGGGGGGAGGGGGGGTTGCGCTGGCTGCCATACGGGCAGTCCTAGCGGAGAGTCGGGGTGGGGGCCGTTTTGTCAGCGAGGTGCGTCAGGTGGGCCTTTATTTTTCGCGGACCGTCCAATCTGGAAATCATCTTTTTTTGTAACCATTACGGGAGGGTGGCCCGTGATTTCGAGACGACTGGTCAGTTCCAACCGCCAGATCTCGCTCATTCGACGACCGCGATTAACCGGCTGGCGGAAACTTTTCCGCCCACCTTTTTTTTTCAGGGCCCACACGGATGCATCCGCCTTTCGAATAAGCCATTCGGCAAATCCACGCCACAACGCTGTAGCCGCAGGCAATTGCAGGTGTCGCCAACTCGTACAGTGGACAATTAAACTCTCATTCCCGTACCATCCGCCCTTGCCATCGCCATAGCCATCACGTCGCCAAGCATTTCAGTATCTGTATCCTCCTTGCCTTCGCCATATCCCTCATGTCGCCATATCCCTCGCGTTGCCATCTTCTGCATCGCCATCTCCCACGTCCCCATCTCCCACGTCGCCATCTCTCGCGTTGCCATCTCCCGCTCCTGTACGTCGCGATCTGCACCGTCATTTTGTACGTCGCGATCAGCACCCACGTCGTCAACGCTGTCGTCATCCCGCACCGCTTCTAATCGAAGGCCGAAAAAGGTACTCCCTCTCTCTCTCTCTCTCTCTCTCTCTCTCTCTCTCTCTCTCTCTCAACTCAAAAAGACTCGTCATTCTGCGTTCGTGCAAAGGCGCGCTTCATCCCGCATCCATCAGCGTGCCCACAGATGTTGAGGACGTGTTGTCGGGACGTGTGACTGGGGCATGTGATCGGGGCGTGTGACAGAAGCGATGACCGGGGCGTATGATTGGGGCGTGTGATCGGGGCGTGCGAGTGGTCACCAACGAACCGGGACGTGTGACGGAAGCGATGACCGGGGCGTGTGATCGGGGCGAGTGGTCAACAACGAATCAGGACGTGTGATGGAAGGAAGTTTTATCTTCCATTTGTCAGTTGTTTGCGTCGTGTCTGAATATTTTTGTCCAACCAAACGCAAGTGTCGATCTCCTAACACAAGGAAGAGGAACGACACAAAGTTCGACGACAGAAGGCGGACGAAATAGACGCACGCAAAAAACAAACGAACGAATGGAGACAGACAACCGACGAAGACGAAGATGGAAGAAGAACACGAGCGAAAAGGTCTGCAAAGAAGAAAAAGACGAACGAAGCTAGGAGAGAAACTATGACAAAATGTGCTAACACGAATAAGATGAACAAAAATGTTAAAGAAAAGGAAGGTGGACGTAAAAGACAAACGAACGAGCCGATAAGACGAGCGTAGAAGTTTAACAAAGAAGACGAATGAAATAAACGAAAAGATTTGCAAAGAAGAAGAATAAGATCGAAGAGCGGAGTAAAACAGGATTCACATGTTTTACTCCGCGCTTCGAGCATGTTCTTCTTCTTTGAAGATTTTTTCGTCTTTTTCATTCGTCTTCTTTGTTTAACTTTTTCGTTCGACTCATCGGTTTGTTCATTCGTCTTTTCTGTCCGTTTTTTTCGTTCAACATTTTCGTTCGTCTTATTCGTGTTCGCACATCTTTTCCTTGTTTTTCTCCTAGCTTCGTTAATTTTTTTTATCTTCGCACTCGGGGATCAAACTAGCAGTGAACGACGAATCTTGTCTTTGTCATCACGTTGTCGTCCTTGTTCATGATCGCGGCGTTTCTATGGATGTAGGCAACCCGAATTGCAATCGATGGATACAGATGACGTTGTGATAAAAAAAATTGAACTGTCGTTCATGCACATTTGTTTTGAACTCTCGTGTTTTTTTTGCAGTTTTGCAGACACGTGCACAACCATCCTCGGTCTGTCCTATCACATGACACGTTGAAGAACGTGCGTCCCCTTGAAGTGAATGAAGATTTCATGTACGACTCGAAATGCGGAACAAAAATTTCAAGAAAACAAGAAAGGGCAAGAGAGAGAGAGGAGAGAGCGAAAGAGCCTCTCTCTATCTCTCTCTGTCTCACTTTCATGTCTACTCGTCTTCTTGTCGTTCTCTATTTCGTGTTAGTATTCAGAACAGGAGATCCGTGATTGCACATACAATGAAACATTTCAAATTTGATGAAGCGACTGTTTTTGTTTGCAATTCATTAAACCCTATCAAACGACCCGTTAGTCAATCGCCGCACGAACATGAGCGGAATTCTTCGCTGGCGTGGCAATGGGCGAGGACAACAACTCATATGTGATGATGACACAACTCGTTCTGTTTTGTCGTGTTTCGCTCATCGTAAGATAGGGTTTACGCTAAAAAATGCACGACGTACTTCACATTTCCCTTCCCGTTATCGACAAAGTGTTTCCCGTCACCACTCGAGGTCAAAGGTCAGTCGAATGCACGAACGATCGGATCAATCCGAATGGCAATAACAAAAAATCTTGAACATACGCTGTTAAGTTCGGATTTATCTAAACTTCAGAGGGTATTGTCGACGACGCACGATCTTATCCTATGAATCCCCCGCGGTCATGACCGCGGGGTCAATCTCGGCCCACAGTCTGGATCTCGATCGCTGAGGTCGGCTGCGGGCTGGAGGGCGCGGTCCCGATTTTGTAATATTTGTTTTTCCTATTAAATAAATACCAAATATATATATATATATATATGGGGTTGTAGGGTTTGAAAATACCTACAACCCAATATTTTTGTTTTTGGATTATGAAGTGTTTTTCAAAAAAAAAAAAAAAAAAAAAAAATGAATAGCCCTATGTAGTAACCCAAACAATCAA